CTTCGGCTGATCCTTCGGCTCCCTTTGGCCACCTGAGCCCTTCGGTTCAGTCGAACCAAAGGGCTGCTATATGGGCTATTCACAATAGCTGAAGGGCCCACCGCTCTCCATGCAAACAACAGCTGGGCGGAGCCAGTGGTGATCTCACAGCTGGCTCCGCCCAGTTGTAATGACAGATCAGCGTCCCCAAATTACCTGAGGAGGCTGATATGTCATTAAACAACAACAACTGGGCAGAGCTGGCCATGATGTCATCGCTAGCTCCGCCCAATTGTTTATATTTTTCTGGCATCTGTCAGATCCTACATTATGCGGCGGTAGTTCATTGCGTGCGGTTGGGTTATCGTGTGACTTTTTTAAAATTTATTTTTATTTATTGTTTTTATTTTTTATTTTTTATTTTGCGGAGTCGTAGTCATTGTGGAGTGCAGGCTGGACATTGTGATTGACCCTGTATTACATTGGTGGATCCATTTTTTTTTTTTAAATAAAAAACTTGTCAAATCCTTGTCTTTTTTTTCAATTAAAGGATTTTTTCTAAAGTCTGGCATATTTTTTCAACTTTTAATTTAACCCTTTAGTGAATGGGTAGGGGTACAAGGGGTACAAGGGGTACCCCTTACTCATTCACAAGGGGGGGCACATCTGGGTGCCCTTTATTAAAGGAGTGCCGAGGGCATGTGGCCTGGTGTGGCAGGGCCCTGCCAGGCCTGTGCTCTGATCAAGGGTCTGGTTGGGAATTTTAGGGGGGACCCCACATCTTTTTCCCCCCATTTTGGGGTGGAGTTCCTCCATAAAATTCCTACCAGACCTTAAGGGACTGGTATGACTTTATGGGGGAATCCCACACACATTCAAAAGAAATTTACTTGGGGTCCCTCCTAAAATTCCTTCCAGACCTAAAGGGTCTGGTATGATTTATTTGGGGGAACCCCACACTTTTGTTCTTTTTTTTAATGGGGTCCCTTCTAACTTTTCTACCAGACCTAAAGGGTCTGGTATGGTTTAGGAGGGGGACCCCACACTGTTTTTGTTTTTCTTTCCTTAACTTTTTTAATTTTCCTATTTTTTTACATTTATTTAAAAAATTTGTAAACATTTTTTCCAATGATTTATGTTATTTCCTATTCTGCTCGCTACCTTAGAGGTAGCGAGCAGAATAACCGAGCCAAATGCTGCTCAGCGGTATTCGGCTATTCACTCACTGCCGTTCGGCCCCTATGAGAATATGGGAGAATGGCAGCAAGTGAGCTGTCGGAGCTTTGGCTCAGCTGATCCAGATGTTTGCCCTTTATTAAAGGAGTGCCGAGGGCATGTGGCCTGGTGTGGCAGGGCCCTGCCAGGCCTGTGCTCTGATCAAGGGTCTGGTTGGGAATTTTAGGGGGGACCCCACATCTTTTTCCCCCCATTTTGGGGTGGAGTTCCTCCATAAAATTCCTACCAGACCTTAAGGGACTGGTATGACTTTATGGGGGAATCCCACACACATTCAAAAGAAATTTACTTGGGGTCCCTCCTAAAATTCCTTCCAGACCTAAAGGGTCTGGTATGATTTATTTGGGGGAACCCCACACTTTTGTTCTTTTTTTTAATGGGGTCCCTTCTAACTTTTCTACCAGACCTAAAGGGTCTGGTATGGTTTAGGAGGGGGACCCCACACTGTTTTTGTTTTTCTTTCCTTAACTTTTTTAATTTTCCTATTTTTTTACATTTATTTAAAAAATTTGTAAACATTTTTTCCAATGATTTATGTTATTTCCTATTCTGCTCGCTACCTTAGAGGTAGCGAGCAGAATAGCCGAGCCAAATGCTGCTCAGCGGTATTCGGCTATTCACTCACTGCCGTTCGGCCCCTATGAGAATATGGGAGAATGGCAGCAAGTGAGCTGTCGGAGCTTTGGCTCAGCTGATCCAGATGTTGGACACCTTCTGCACTTCGGCTCAGCACAGCAACATGTATAGCTTATTTTTGCCTATGTACGGCTGAAATCAGCCGTACAAGGCTGAAGTGAATAGCCGAACAGCTTTTGGTTCACTTCACTTCAGCTCGATTATTCACTTGGCTGCCTTCGGTAGCTAAGTGAGTAACCCCCTAGGTTTTTACATCACCTTCAAATAAAGAAAGCCTATGTGAAGCAACTCTTAGTATGATTAACACATATAATGGATATAAGATTGGTCCATATAAGAGGTACATAATGGGCCATATTTACAATAACAGTAGCGAAGAAAAATAGAACAAAGGTGGAACGATTGACCATAGAAATAAATGAGTTTTCCTGTTTGATATCAAGCTATCTGGTTGGTATCTGTGGGTAGCAAATCTAATTTTTTTTGGTATATCATTCTACTATTTTATAATGGGAGAATATCATCTAAGATACAGTACTAGCGCTTTATGTTTTTTTAAGTTACATTTATAATGCACCTAAACTGGAAGCCTAAACAATGATGCGAACTGTGGCACAATTTTGTTTAAACTTTAACAGTTCATTGTATTGATGTAATTTTGTTGATTCAAAATACACGATAAAGCCTGGGAAGTAAAAAAGAATTTACTTTTTTGTTCTGAATAAAAAGAATAAAGCTTCATTTAAGACCAGCCAATTACACACTGAATGTCACTATTAATGGCGTGTACAGCTGCATCGCATATGGTGTCACAAGAATTATTTTCTGATCTAAATATAAAACTGTGGATACAAGCTGAGATTAATCTTTCAAACTTATTTGTCAACATGCACAACAAGGTTCTAGCTCTGATGTTCTTTTGAGCATTGTAGAAAGTGCCGCCAACACTCCTTTTACAATTCATTTCATATTAGAGAGGAAAGGCACATTTTGGAACACATTAAACTATCTGTAAAAGTTATCTGTTTGAATAATTTTTAATATGCATATTATATTTATATCACTGCTAACAGTGGGGGAAATATACACTAATTACTAGTGACCACTGTGCAAGAAGTTAAAATATTGCTTTTGGTTTCTGCATGTGCTGTTGTAGACAAATGTATGCCAACCTGTTAGTCTAGAGCAGAACGTGCTTTGACTTGCTTGGATTATATTATCTACTGATATATATATATAAACATTTCACAGTATAAATGATCAGGAACAGTATTTATAAAAATTTGATGGGAGGTTATCCTTGTGTATAAAATGGCTCACTTGCTGTAATATTGCTGTAATATGTTTTCTATTTTTCTATTTTTACATTATCTGATTCTTGTTTGTCCTTTTTCAGTAATAAAAACACAAGCAACCTTTGCCCTAAATTATAATCATGTTTTGAATCTCTAACTGGGATCATGAGATTAATTATACAAATAACACAAACATATGAAAATGTGTTGTAATAAGAAAATGTACATTGAAACATATATTTGTAAGTGCAGATATTTTGAATTGAAATCTGTACAGCTAAATAATGAAATTGTAAGCTAAACAATGCAATTAGCTTTCACAAAGTCAATGTAAAGACATTTTTCTTAAACTCTTTAGGATCTAGGCAAGCTATAAACCAATTAAACCGGCATTAGTTTCTTGGATGAATATGAACAACACAACAGTTTTTTTCTTGCTGTTTGATTGCTGCTAAATCTTCAAATTGATGATTTTATAAGCTTCTAGTTCTCTAAAGCTGTATTTTCAATGCATGAAATAATAATTGTGTACATGGGATTGATACATTTTTAAACTCATATGTGTCATTTACTAGCTGGAAAAAAATGAGTGTTGCTTGTGTGTTTATCTGTTATGGACACCCCAACAAACTAAAAAATCCATTGATCTTGTTGCTAGAAAAAACTTCTAAAAATATTGTTTTTAACATATAGAAATTTTATGTATTCTGTTCATTTATACAACCTTTGCATATTTCTCAGAACATCATAAAGCCTTTTACACCAATATCTGCCTCTGATGTAACCTTCTGTTCTATTTAGTGTACTTTTCATAGTCACAAACAAAACAGGACCAATTTTCAGTGGAAGATTTTTAACCTCCTACTATGGTTTTCAACTCTGGGAGGAAACTGGAGCTCCCCAAGTAATGTCTCTCAGACTCTCTTAATAAACAGAAATACTGTATTGTATATATAGCATCTGTTACGGTCATTAAACCCAGCACTTTAAGACATGAGTGCTGTCTGCTTAGCCACCCTACTACCCATACAAAGTTTTCTGTTGCATCTTACATCACTTTAAAGCTGAAATTGGGGTGGTAATAAACCAGATGATAAATTATGTATTGCTCTTTTTTTCCTTTTTTTTCCAGGAGATGAAATGACAAAATATTACTTAACTTAACCATTAGTCCTTCAGCAGCTAGTGGTCCAGTAGTCTTTTATGCAGCACTAGAGTGTGGGCAGGTTCTCCTATATCATTATGTGCAATGCAGGACCAACATTGGCCATTGGTCCTGTAATGTAAGTGATGACATCAGTGATAGAGACTGTGACAAGACTGTTAGAGGTTGATGAGCAGCTTTGGGGAAACAGGTCATCAAATCGGGAACTGGTGGGAAGGAAGCCTTGGATTCATTTTATTTAATCCCCTAGAAAAACATTTAGTATTATATTTTCTTTAAGCTGGAGGTGGGTTATATTTATTGATTTTATTCCTGCCTAGATTTGGACTTTAAGGAAGTCTGCCTTCTGGACAGAACAGCTAGACATGTATCAGATTGCTTCCCACAGAGTTGGATATTTAAGATGAAACTTCATACAAAAAACTATTCTCTCCAGATATCTCCAGTTATTTAGAGCACATCTCCAGGCTTTTTGCAAACTAACAATCATTACCTGTAGATTTTAGACTTGTAGATCCTTACCTGCTTTCGCATTAAGACAAGCCATTCCTTGAGCTGTAGAAGTTTAACCCAAACTTGTGCCATCCATACTTGATACCTGGCTGGATGGTCTGAACAATCTCACAGTCATGCTGTAACGTAAATATACAAATTCACAATCATTGTTATATTATGCAATCTCATCTTACCTTTCTTGCTTCTTTGATCATCTTTCTGACCATTTCTTTAATTGTAAGAGGATGTCCTCTTGGGGGGTGGAAGTAGAGATTTATGTCTGTAGGTCCTATGTGCCCTGGGGCTACAAAGGGCCACCCAAGGTCAAGATTTGGTGCTTCTACATCTGATTCCATTGGCCAGTAAGTGCCAGAAGATGAATTGTCATCTGTTGTATCCCCTTGAGAGTTGTCCGCTGTCTCTGCTGCCTTCTGAATATGATTTGTAATATAGCTGACTTCATTTTCAGCAAGAAACTCTGTAGCTCTTTCATTAGCAAGGAATTCTTGATATGCAGTAATACCTCCCTCGATCAGTGCATCTATGGCCACTCTATACCATTCCTTGTAATGAGGCTCTATGTAGTTTTCAGATTTACATTCATCATGCAAAGATGAAAGTAATGATAATGTTTCCACCAGTGCAGACATTCTGAGAATTCAGGCTGTAGTGAATAGAAAAAACATATATAAATAACAACATATATTAGGGTTTTGTTGTCACATGACTAATACTTGTTTAGAGTGATTCATTATCAAATGCAATGAAGTATGCAGCAGCTATTTTTCACAATGTGATGTTTCACACATGTATAATATATATACAATTCAAGACAAGATGGTAAGGAGGGCCCTGCCCCTAAGGGCTTACAATCTAAAAGGGAGGGGGTAGTGATACATGAGGAGGGAGCTGCATGGGGATGAATTGTTTGAGAACGTGATGGTTGAGCGGTTAGGTTGAGGTGGGATAGGCTCTTTAGGGATCGATTTGTAAGGGGTCAAGAAGGTTGTGATCAGCGAGGTGGCGACTTAGGCGGCTGTAGAGGTGGTGAAGTGAAACTGAGAAGGTTGTGGTCTGAGAGGGGGAAAGGGGTGTTGGAGAGGTTGCAAGGAGTGCATAGGTGAGAGAAAACAAGATCTAGTATGTTACCATCAAAGTGAGTAGGAGTGTCTGACCATTGGGTTAGATCAAAAGAAGAGGTTAGGTTAAGAAATTGAGCAGAAGCTGGGGTGTTAATGTTAGTAGCAATGTTAAAGTCACCAAGAATGATAGTGGGTATTTTTGAGGAGAGAAAGTAGGGTAGCCAGGCAGAGAAGTCATCCGGTATATAACAGCAATCCTCAGAGAAATTGGAGAGAATAGGCGAATACAGTGGGTTTCAAAAGAGGAGAGGGATAGAGAGGGAGGCGAAGGGAGAATTTGAAAAGTGCATTGTGGGGATAGAAGGATACCCACTCCGTGTGTGTGTGTGTGTGTGTGTGTGTGTGTGTGTGTGTGGTAAAGTATATCAATAATAGGACATAGTGTGACACATTAACAGCATTTTTGTGATCCTATAGATACTGGGAAGTAATTGGACATGTGTGGCAGCTGTTCCTGCTGTTGTTAGTCACACCCATTTTATGATCTCACTGTTATCACTGAGCCAATGATAACAGCTGCAGTGTGCATCTAATCAAATCAGAGAACTATGATTCATGAATTATGGCCCCAGATGTTATGTGTGGAAAAACAGTTACCATGGCTTTTAATATAATTAAACCAACAGTAACTTAAGGCTTTGTTAGTCATATGGTTAACCAGTGTCCACAACATATTTAGATAGATAAAGTTCAATGATGTTGTTTCTATAGGGCAGATGGAGCAAATGTAACGTTGAACAGCAAACACAAAGCACTTCAAGGAATTTTTAACCCCTAAAAGCATATTTTCAACTTATCAAACATCCATTGGGCTTCATTACTAAAGTGTTTATGTGAGTATGTTATTAAACTGATGTGTCTGCAGAGCAGGCCAAACAATCCACTTATATTCTCACAGTATTTACTACGCACCCATGCACATCTCTTATAACATATATTTGTTAAATTCACAAACAAATGCTGTTTGCTAAGGAATGTATGCTCAAGCATCCAAATGTATTCGCCAAGTACTAGAATACCCAAAAGAAAGATTGTATTTGTCATGTTGGTATATGTCTTTATGGCATATGTTAGCCTTTTTTGCATATGCATTTTATGTAAGTGCAAGTCTGCATGAAGTGTGATCTGGTCACTGTGTGACTGAAAATCTGCTAAAAGCAAAAATACAATTTCCCATGCTATTTTAAATACTATTTTAAATATGGCCATTGAATAATTTTCTCCTATTTATCTTGATTATATTGTCAGTTCTATTTGGTTAATTAGAAGTTGTGAACATTTTAGTTTTTTAGATATTGAGTATTTTACAGTACTGTTGTTGAGTTTAATGACTGTAAGTCAGTAATGTTTAAAGAATACTAAAAAATTATTTTACTAATACTAATTAAAAGAGACCTTGCGGTATATCAGGGTCCCCTTCCTCATACTAAATAGCAGCAGAAAAGTAAAAAGAATTAGCTAATATACCTATCTTTGCCTTGGCAGTTAATTTACAAAACCGTGTCATGAACAGAGTATATTAGTGCTCATTTATATGTCTGCAGGGGGACATAAATCAAGATGTGTGTATTTCTGCATTCAAGAGACAGAAGGACAGATGAGCGGCCCTGTATGTATGTTGCCACTTGGACTTGTGCACAGCCATCTGTTAGCCTGTTATTGATTTGTACAGGCCTCTGTACAAAAACACCTGTGACACAACCCGGGAGCAGATACACCCCGTAGCAGATACACACCCCTTCTTAAAGGTATATGGACCTATGTGGCCATGTGAATGAGCTCTGAAGTATCTATCTCCCAGAGGTTTTATTCTCAGAAACCATGCAACCCCCATACTAATTTGTTCCCAAAGTTGCAACTCAAAGTTAACATGTTTTATTGCAAATGTTTATGTCTGTGACTGTGTGTCACAGTTGCAGTTTTTTTTTTCTTCTGACATCGGAGCCGTTGGCTGCCATCAGAACAAAAATAAGCATAGGAATGCATAGCTACATTCCTATTGGCTATTTCAATTTGCAATAGCCAATAGCAAACTAGCTATTGCACCCACTGCTGCTGTCAATCAGCAGAGGGGACCTGCAGTTCTCCATCAGGTCCCCCTAGTGATTGACAGCAGCAGAGGGCGGGTGCAATCACTAGTTTGCTATTGGCTATTGCAAATTGAAATAGCCAATAGGAATCTAGCTATGCATTCCTATGCTTATTTGTATTTTTTTGTTCTGATGGCAGCCAACGACTCAGGTGTCAGAAGAAAAATAAGACAACAGAGCAGGGAAAGGTTTACTCTGCTCGATCGAGCAGAGTAAAACTTTCCTGGAGAGTTTTTTTTTTTTTTTACGGCAGAAGAACCGCCCGGCCAATAAAAAACAGTTGGGCGGAGCTAGCTGTCACTGCTAGCTCCGCCCAATCATTTTCTTTTTTTTACTACTTTTTAAACTGTTTTTCTATTCTGCTCGGTACCACAGAGGTACCGAGCAGGATAGCTGAATGCTCAGCGGCATTCGGCTATTCACTCACTGCTGTTTGGCATCTATGAGAATAGGCTGAACAGCAGCGAGTAGCCTGCCGGAGGTTCGGCTTAGCCGATCCAGATGATGGATCAGCTGAGTCGAACTCCTTCTGCACTTCGGGTCTTCCGAACATGCTGTGCATGTTCGGTCTACCCGAAGCCACCCGATGTCCGGCTGATTCCAGCCGATATACGGCTGGAATCAGCCTACCAGCCTGAAGTGGATAGCCGAACAGCGTTCAGCTCACTTCGCTTCGGGTCGGTTAGTCCCTGGTTATCTGGTTTAGTTTTTAAAAAGGTGCATTTTTGTGTATGAAAATGTTAAACTCTATGCCTAGAGAAAAACAAAATATTCATTACATTTCTACAATACAATTCTCCATTATTTATCCCTTAAACAGTACAGAAAAAACCCTGTGAAATTCAAACTTCGCGCTCAGCTTCTAATTAGGCAGCAGGTACTAATTCTAACATATATCCAGAATGAGATAAACAAACATAAATAATGTGCCGTGCTCAGAAATTAACTATAATTCTTATCTACAGCACCAAAGGTTGACATGTGCTGTATATCATTAAAGTTTTTATTGCTAACATTGGGTGTCTTCCCACCTGTAAATGGAAAAGGGAAGTGGTGGTTTTAGTGTAGCAGAGGCACTGCGTTATCAGCTCACCATCAACTGTTATTTTTCTGTAATTCTACTTTCATTTTTCTGTAACATTTTTAGGAGAAGAAACAAAGGGAAATTTTATGGATTGCAAAGATGTACAAAAGTTTTTTTGCCCCCAAAAAACGTATTAAACCCTGTGAAAACTAATAGTGGGGAAATGTATAAATTGTAGCAGATTACCCATGGAAACTGATCACTAGGCAAATAGGTTGAATTGTAAGAAACAAAGATTTTAACGATCTTTGGAGTGTTATGAAACATGTGTTATGAAGGTTGTGGGCTATTTCTTGTACATGGTACATGGTAAAACAATTCAAGGAGAAAACCTTACTCCGCTTGCATCCTTCCCTGATGCATCATCTAAACTCTCAATAACTGTGCTATCATCAAATGATAATTTTAATAAGCCTGCACACTTTATTGAAACACATAAATGATTAAAGAAGCACTGACTATATATAGCAAATGTTAAATTTAAAAATGTGAAAGCATATACAAGATAACACTGCAACTAGGTAAAAGTTGGAATTTCAGTTACTTCAAAAGGTTTGATCTTGTTACCCCACTTTCCTTTTAAGAAAGAAAAAATTAAGCTTGAAGTATTTCCAACTTCAAATATAAAACAACAAGGCAGCTGAAATTCTGCACCTGGTTTAACTGTCGAAAGGCCAACCCTCTATATTTATATTATGGCATGCTTGAGAAAGAGAAAGGTGCAAAGATCTTTTCGGTGGGTCTGAATTGCGTCTCTGGATAAACATAGCTAAGTTGTGGCATGCAAAAAAGATCTGTGAACCGTGGCATGTTGTATTTTGCATTCTTTTGTTAAATTGTTTGAATGATGCACACACATGCTGTTTCGCTACATACTACATATTTTTCATCACAATGATCATCATTTGGGGTTAGGTCTAATTTCCATAATACAAAATGCATGATTTCTAAAGCACCGTTGAGCTCCGGCCTTAACTTCAGACTTGCACAGTTGTACAGGCTCCCTCTGTACAGAAAATACTTACTCTTATATCTTTCCACACCATAAGCTTTTCACAGTATGCATTAGAAGCTGCAGCAATTCATATAAAGCCTATCTTATTTTCTAAATGTCAGTCATCTAGCATCATCTAGCACTTTCACTCACATGTGGACGATCACGATTCAAATGCAGCCTATCTATGAACACCCACTTCTCCAGACTGATGTCCACCCATTGAGACATTTTGATGTTTTCTTAACTTCTCTCAAGAGCCAGCCCACTGCTTACATTAGGGCTGAGGGCTCTTAAAATGTGTACTGAGGCAGGGTGCTGCAATGTTTTCAAGAAGCCATGTACAGCACCCTG